ATTAGAATTTTTAAAATAAGATAATGATATGCGAAAATAATATAATACAATCAGAAAAGGTATTAATTGAATAAATCATTACATTTTAAATACTGTCGTTAAATTATGCTAATCCGTGTGTCTTTTAGAATTTGTATGGATTTTATCTCGAGAGTCAGCTTTGGAAGAGGCAACGAGGGAGAACATATATAAATTTTCGGATGATAACAAAATCGATCGGAAAGCTTTGACTGCTACAGTACAAGATTGTTAAGTTTCAAGATTGATACAGAAAGAATTCAATAAAAATATTTGGATGTAAAGTTTCTCATATTGTATATCAGTAGAACAAGCATACACACATACATATTCTTCTTCACTCCAAATTGGAGAGTAGGGCGTCTATCATAGCTCTTCATCTCAATCTATTTGTTCCCAAATACTTTGCAACTCTCCACGTCTTTGCATATTTTTTTCAATTCATTTATAATCGTCCTTGAGACGCGATGTCTTAGGGGATAGAACGTTTGTCTTCCAATTGGCTAAATCGGGTTCGAATCTCAGCGATGGCTGGGCGATACAAATTCCACATCCGGCTTGTACCGACCACAGTGCGGACGTAAAATATCTTCAGTGGTGGACGGATCATGGGTAAGACTCCCCTTGTTGTCAGGCTAACCGTGGGAGGTTACCGTGGTCTTCCTCTCCATGTAACGCAAATTCGGGTTAGTGCCATCAAAAAGTCTTCCACAAAGGTAAATTTCTCCCAATTCTTTATCCAGGAATTCCCTTATCTTCGGCTTAAAATTACAAGGCTACAGAGTTGAACATTAGTAGTCGTAAACCCGAAAATTGGGTCTGCTTTTCAACGACGGTTATAAAATAAAATAAAATCTATTTCCATTTACGTTTTTTAATTCCTAGTTCAATTGGTTTCTCTTTTGCTTTTCTAAAGATCTCTGTGTTACAAATTTTATGATATACCCATATAAGTTAATAAATAGTTATAAAAAAATTATTTTATAATAAATTATCTATAAATTTTATGAAATACTACCCATAAATGTTAAGAAATAGTTATAAAAAAAATTCTTTTATAATAATTTATTAACACATAAGGGTTGTTAAAATCAAAACATAAGTTTTTGCAATGCGAAATTTCTTTGAAATTGGTTTCATTATTTGTAGTGGACATCAATTACATAGAAAACACACATATATGTCAATAAATATTTATAGAAAATTTAAAAAAACGAAGAAGTTAATTCCAAAGCATGATAAGTTTTGAGTATTTGTGTATTGTTAACATTAAAATGGACATTTTTTCGAATATTTTATTGTTTTTTGCAATGAGAAATTCTTTCGAAAATAGTTTTACTGCTAGCAACAGAAAATTAAGAAAAATAGTTTTATCAGAAGCATGCTGATATCATAACTTTTTTTATCACTAACGTAAGGATGGACACTTTCAGAATTTTTTTAAAATGCGCATAATCTTTTTGAAAGTTATTTTATACTTATATATATCTTAAAAAATTTTAAAAAAAGGAAAAAGCATCCATCAAAATTTTAAAACAGAACTTTTTAAGCCAAAAACAGATTCCGCATGTGCATATCGCTAACATAAAGGTACACATTCGCGATTCTTTTTAATAATTTATTGAAAAGCAATATTAATTTTAAACTGGTTTCCTAATTTAAACTGAGTGTCAATTTGCTTGAATATGTCTAAAGATATTAATTACGAGAAGATTTATGAAAGAAATTTCATTTGGACCAAAGAACGTTATGTCTATAGAATGTACACCGAAGAGCCATTACATTATGACCACCCTGCTAATAACATGTAGGACCACCTTTAGCCCTCAAAACTGCTAGCACCTGCCGTGGAATTGATTCCACAAGGTGCTGATAGGTAGTCTGAGGAATCTGGTACCAAGCGCTCACCAACTGGTCCTGCAATTTCCTCACATTGCGAGGGGGTAGTGTGACAGCACGAATTTGGTTTTCCAAGTAGGACCACAAATGCTCTATTGGATTAAGGTCAGGTGAATTTCGGGGTCAAGACATGACTTGAAAGTCACTGGAATGTTCCTCGACGATTCGACCCTTATGACATGGTGCATTATCCTGTTGGTAAACACCATCCCCCGCAGGAAAAACTGTTGCCATGAATGAGGGAACCTGTTCTGCAACTATGTTCAAGTAGCTTACAGACGTCAGGGATTGTTCTATGAGGATTATGGGTCCTAATGTGCCCCATGAAAGCATTGTTCCTGGGCGAGAAATACATGAAAACCTGGGTGAGCCCATTGTTATAGATGGAGGGTGGTCATAATGTAATGGCTCTTCGGTGTATATCGCTAACGCAAAGGTAGACCTTTTGCGAATTTTTTATTATTTTTTTAAAGCGAAATTCATTTGTAACTGGGTTTATAATTAAAAGTGAGAGTCATCATGTTAGAAAACACCCATATATGTCCCATTAATGGTAAGTTAATACTTAAAAGAAGGAAAACCGAAAATATGATATCGAAATTAAACTAATCTCTATAGAGAAAAGCGGAAAATGGAACATTAAAAGTCATTGGATTTCCGAAGTAAAAAGATAGAAATTGAAAACTAGTTATTAGAAACATTTTCAATGTTTCAGCCCGCAGTTTAACTGTTTCTGATGTTTTCGTTATTCCATCTTCCCGACTAGTGATACTTTATATTTATTATATTTTTTTGACATTATTTTAGATAAGGATTCTAAAAATATATGTTCTGGTTGGCAATTACGGAACACCCTGTTTCTAATATTAGTATGTTAGTATAATTCGACATATTTCCGGGAGTGATAGTACGAAAAATGGCATATTCTGCAATGGAACATTCCGTCTAAATACTCTAAATGGACAAAAACCTTCCAAGCTTTCAACCTTAGCTAAAAAACAAAAATTGCTTCAGTTTTGATCGTTATTCTTAAATTGACAATTTTTAAGGATATTGAATTTCATGTTGAAAAAAAATTAGACTAAAAATGATAGGCCATAATGCCTTCAATAATAATAATTAATCTTTAACACTTACTAAAATTGAAAAATGCGATTATTTTTATCCCGATTACAAGCAACTGATGATTAGTAATCATTATTTGCCCTAAATAATTTCTAACTCTGATACCTATGATAAGTAAATTCAAATTCTGCTGTTCTCAACTCAATGTTCCACTTATACATTCATAACCATCTTATCCATTATGATAAAAGAAAATGCCATTTATGTATTCTCTGCTTACAATCATAATGTTGCCCAGGGAACGCCATTCGAGGAGGAGAGGTTATTTAATTTTGACTGCTTAAACACTAAGCGCAATTCATAATAACAAAAACAATATATACCACGCCTACGGAGTAATGTGAATATTTAAAAACTGTGTTTTTTAAATTACAGAAGCTGAAAAAAAATTTAATTAATCGAATATGGTTTAGAAACTTATTTACGAATATAATTATTATACATATTTTTTTTATAAAAGCGAATAATAGCTTAAAAATGGAGAAATAGTTGCTTATATAGTGAGCTTATAAAAGACCCCATATCTCCCCTTAATATAGTGCGAAAGCTATTTATAAGTCGCATAGCCAGATTTAGTGTGACCGTTAGTGTTAAGTGATAGGTAGGAAACAAGTGCTGGATCTGAGGATCTAGGGGTCAAATCTCGGTAGGTCAATATTTTAAAATTATACTTCAAAATTTAATGTTTCTTTAATTATTATTATTGCTATTTCCTTTAGTATGGTAGTATTGTGTGGTATAATATAATACCAGATCGAGTTCGAAAATAATAGGTTAATATTAAAGAATGATATTGAGCCATAAATATATACAATATATGAGTAATATTGCTATTTTTTAACGCTATTATACGTACTTAGAAAATGAAAAAAAAGGAAAAGTTTGAGTAAAGGAATATTTTTATTTCGCTACAATATTGTAAACCAATTAAAAAAATTATTTTTTTCTAAATTTAACTCTTAAATGCTGAACGTGTCCGAGGTTTGAACCCTGGACTCTCGGAAATGTTAAGTATATTGAAATAATAATAGGGCAAATTTTAAAAATTATAGTTTTATATAAATGCGAATTACAGGCCGTTATAATATAAATAGAGCAAACAAGAAATCTTTAGAAATTTTTCATAAGTGTCTTGGAGTTATTTTTATGAAGTGGAATATTTAAAACGATAATTTAAAATATTTTAATAAAATTATCAATCTCTAAAATTGGTTTTAATTCTTTAGTAAAAAGAAAAAATAATTCGCGACTAATTAACCCTTTTATTCATTCGCTTTTGTAGTCCGCCATTGTTTTCGAACTCACAGTTGTGGATTTAGCAGTTTGGTCATCTGACTGTTAAAGGGATTTGCATCTGGAGTGGGTTTACATTGGATGCACCCTATTAATTTCCATTTTGTAGCCTTTAGTTTGTCTGTATCTGTGCGGCTTGATGTAGTAGTTTAGTATGTTATTGCATCGATATATGACCAAGTTTCGAAATAATAGGTTTAAAAGACAGTTTTTCTTCCCAAAATTGATTTAAAAGTTGTAGTACAAGATATTTCCTGCTATTCCTTATTAATATCATAATTATTTTTGTTTGGATCCAAATTTAGGTCCATTGTCTTTTTAAAATTAAATTGGTTATGGGTCGAAAGAACTAACGTCATGATATGAGAAGAAATATGTACTATCACTTTTTACTGGTAAGGGATTGTAAATTAGATGTATGTCTTACTCTATTTGAAAATAAAATACACTTTGAAATTGCAAATATTGTAATTTATTTGATAATCAATCTACCGATGTTAAAGAATTACAGCAGTTTAAATATTTGCATATTAAATTTTCTTGATTAACAATTTTTAGACTTTGGAAAGGTGTTTTTAGGTGTTACATCAAAGTCTTCATTTACTTTCAGCCAAGACGTGTTTTCTTTAAGACACGTCTGGGTATACTTTCAGGCCAGTCGTGATTTACTTTCGTTTGAACAATCTCCTGAAGATTCGAGCGAAGAAATGAAAGCATCCTCTCTCTTTTTCTTCAGATTGTTCATTGATGGTAAGCTCGATATCACTTCTTTGCCAAAAGTCTACTTCATCTCTTAGGAAGGGACCATCACGACATTTTAATCTAAAATATAAAAGTGGCACTCTCATTGTTAGAAAGTTTAATACAGTTTTTTGCTTCGTTACAATTGCTTCATTTTGAATTATAAGCTTTTTGTATGGAGTAAAAGGTATTTAAGCTCAGATAAATTTTCTAAAGCATAAATTTCAAAAAACTCGATTTTTACTCTACAATGATCAAAATCGTTATATGATTTACGACAACGAGAAACAATTTCGTGATGGATTTATTAGGGAGATTTTATTTTTCAGATTAATTGACAATATGTTTTGTGCAAATTATTCTTGATTTAAAACTTTTACTTCAATCAATTTATCCGAATTGCTTAAAAGTAGTTAAAAATATTTAAAATGATTTTTCGGCCAATTTTATAATCAATTGAGCCGAAGTAAAATACATCAATACAATAATGTGAGAAGCACCAAAAAAAGAGAAAAAACCTTTTTTAAGATAATGCGTCATCAAGGAAAAATTCCCCTCAAAATTAAGAAAAACGCAAAATGAAGCAGAAATAGGAACATAAAGCTGTAAATGAGAACAGTCGACGGTCATCTCCTTATGAACATCTTTCAAAAATGATTTAAACACATTTTCCTAACAAACTTGCCAGATTACAAAATATGAAATTAAAGCGTAAATAGATGGAAATCGAATATATTTTAAAATCGCTTTCTTTCTGAAGTATGAAACCACATTTAATTTCTCTCTTTTATATATATATATATATANATATATATATATATATATATATATATATATATTAAAGAACATAAATGAAAATCATTACTTAAAATATGTTCTAAGACAATGTCGATATTTAAAATGTTTCGAAAAAGTTAAAATACCTATCGTCCTCAATGCCGTACTCTATCGAGTCCTTGTCGTGCACCAAATCCATCTTATAGAGTTTCGCAATCTTTACATCGCTGAATAGGAACAATTCCTCACTAAAAGTGAAAAAAAGAAAAGAGAAAAAATGTATAACTTAAAATCCAATAAAGTTATTTTGCTCAATAAATTTTTCGTTAAAGATGAGATATATTTTTAAAGAGAGAGAATTTATTAACTTATAAACGATCACAGATGTTTTAAAAATGCTACGATGTGTAATTATTTATTTTATATTTTGTGTTAATTATTTATTAAATAAGAAAATGCCCATTATAGATTTTTGTAGGAGTGATAATTACAGTGGTATTTACAAGTAAATTCCAAAAACGTGACTTAGCATTTAAAAAGATTTTTAAGTTAAAAAAATTATGTTTACTATTCATTTATTTACCTCATTCGTCTTTTATTTAAACTTATGAACAGATATTTCTCTTTTTATTAAATTTATATAGTTTTTTTTTGTGTGTATCCGTTAATAGACTTCAGAAAAACAACTCATGGTTATAAAGAAAATACCTTAAGAAGTATAAAATAATGAAATAGTATCTACAAGAAATAAGTTCAGTTGTAATTTATTTTAATATTTTATTTTTTCAAAATAAATGTTTTCTCTTGCATGAAATTGTTTAGATCGCTTATACTTTATACAACTGAATAAAAATTTACGAATTATTTAATCCTTTTCAGAAAATTGGTTTATACGAGTAACATTGTCATTATTTTAGCATTTGTGTTTATAATTATTCTATTTTATTAAGCTCTTGTTAAGGTAATGGCCCTTGAAAAAAAGGTTTTTTTTTGTTAATGCAAAGATTTTAATCTTTTAAATAACTGCACGTATTAATTTTGTTCACGCTTAATAAATTCATTTTAAATCATCTGTTCCCTTGATTCATAGGGATTAATAAAACTTAAAGGCTGATGTGTAGTCACTTACAATTTTAAGGTAACATTTTATAAATAGTTACGAAAGTGTCACCTGAGAAAGGATGGAAAATAACTCAAACATTGATGATCACTTTAACTAAAATATTAAACTGCCATTAAGAAACATTCTAATTAACATACCTAATCAGCTGCTCAACTCCATCACCCTCATCATCATCATTAAGCTCATCATTAACCTCATAACCAACATCATCACCCTCATCCTCATCATCCCCAACATCATCATCATCAACTTCATCATCATCAGATGATGGCACTTCAGCTCTTAATTCCACCATATACTCTTCATCACTGAAATTATAAAAGGAATATATTTTTTTAAATCTGTCTGAAGGTAATAGATTTCTATTTAAAAAAATGCGTGATTTCTAATGATTTTTTTGTTCTATGAAGGAGACTTCCAGAGTTTCTTCAGGCTTAGAGTGTGAAAAATAAAACGGTGTATCTTAAGAAATTTTGATTGAAATATGTTTTCGATTGTTATTTTATTATTGGGTGAGCATAATTGAAATTAACTGTTCATTATTTTTATGTTTATATCATATCTTAGTCGATTTTTACCAGTAGTAGGGTTTTGTGACCAAAATAAGTAAACAGTAAGACCGCTGTTTTAACCCTTTGCGGTCGTATGTCTACTCTCAGTCACCAACTTTTTTTTAACAGTTCCAATTGTGTGTCTGCTCTCAGCCAACACAGCAAAGATGTTAGCCACAGCGCAATGGCAAACTATATATATTGCGGCACTGTAAAGATGTAAAGAATGAAGATTGTTCTGTATGTTCAAACAGAAAAATTAAAGGCGGAAGACGCCAAACTAATTATTTTTGAGACACATGTTCTCCAAAACCTGGGCTTCATATTGGAGGTTGCTTTGAAAGATACCACACGAGAACTATAAAATATAATTTTTACATGAAATTAAATCATATTATAGTGTTATACATATCTAAAGTTTAAAAAACAATTAATAAATTTCATTTTTCCTTCATAAGTTTGCATATTATGTATTACTGTTAGTTCAGCGAAAATTAATTCTGACCAGCATGTCACCCATGTATAAACTTAATACGACCGCAAAGGGTTAAATGTTTTGTTGTTTTTAATTATATTCTTGCTTTCTGTGTATATTTTTTCAAATCCTCAAAAGGGAACCTTTTTATTGAAAAAAAAGAAAGAAAATTATGATAAAAGGCATAAGACTTTAGGAATATAACTACTTACAAATCATTCTCATCCACATCAATATCATCGAATTCATCTTCGAATTCGCTACCATCCTCATATGCTGAAATATTAATTAAAATTAGATTTGAAAATTTGAATAAAAACTAGTTTTAAAATAATCTCTAAAAAGTTTATTCTGTTCAATAATAAAAGAAAGTTTTGCAAACTACCACACTTAGTCTTTTGCAATTTATAATAAAATTCATAAAAAAGGTGGAAGAAAATCTTCTTTAAAAGAAATATGTATTTTTGGAAACCGCTATTTAATAAAAAATAAAAATAAATAGCGGTATGGTTGTTCTTCGTATGCTGTAAAAATGTAAATAATAAATAAGCGGTATAAATCAACACTGCTTAAGCATGGGCAGAACTGAAGACCATATACCGACACATTTGTTAAAGGTTAAATAATTTCTTTTCTTCCTTAATTTTTATTTTATTAATTTTAACATATATTTACTCTTAGAGCTTCCCGTTGACTTAGCTTTATTATATTAAGCAAAACCCGCTTTTTAAAATTCAATATAAATATTAACTATATTCAGTGTCATTTGACATAGTGTAATTGCCAAAAGACTCACTCATCATTGTCAAAATTTACCACATTAAAACATTTTTATCCATTTAAGAGAGTTTCAAGAAGCTGATTATACTAAAAACCAGTATTAGTAGATTTAGATCCCTTTACCACAATGTAAGTAACTTATATTACCAAAATTATTGAAACAGCATTGGCATGAGTATTGGCGATTTTTGGGAATCCAAGAATAAGATCGTTTTCTCTATACTCGGGTTACTAAGCTGCGTACTGATGGTTAGTACGAAAGACGTCATTACCTTTGGACTAGTAAAGAATCAAATTTCCTATTTATGGTAACCCTTGCAGATCTTCTAGGAGGTATTGGAAGAACATAACAAACTCTCACCGACACTTACTGGCGATATCAAATTGCGAATATATCAGTATTTTTGAATGCAAAAATAATTTAATGCATCTGGTAATAATTTGATGCATTTCATTCAGCTTTACAATATCGAAATCAAACTTTTACCTTTTCTTTTCGATTGTTTACATACATATATCTATAGTTGGGGATTTCCAAATTTATGCCAAGTTTGGCGAAAATGTCTTACAAATGGATTAAAAGCATCTCAGCTAGGCGTAAGCTTAATTATTTATTGTAGTTTACATTTAACTACTTGTATTAAGGTGTGTGCAAATGCACCATTCGGCATTAACTTGAAACATTAGACAATATTTCATAGATTTGTTTTAACACATTGGGATAGGTATTTACACCAGTTTAACTTAATAACACTCAAATGGGTAAATAACATTCTAGCGTAATATTTTGACTTTTTTAAATGTTTGAATCAGATATAGAAAAACATAATATCTATATCATATTTATATTTCTCAGTAAAAATGTACAATTGGTTGCCCATTTTCAGGTCTTTATCTGGAAATTTTTTAATGTTTTTTAATGTTTTTATACAGAAAACAAGGAAAACTGTTTCAAATTGATATTTTTTTGTTTTCGAGAAATTGAGCAAAATAGAAGATAAGAAATCTGGATAGAAATAACTGGAAAATGACAAATTTAACATTTAGGATAAGCTTCAGATTGGAGTTCAAAATCCAAGCGGTACCCAATTCTATACTCTAACCTGTTTTCCTTCCAAATTTCTATTTTAACATTTCTTTATTTGTTATTTAATACTGTAGTGTAATAAAAGTTAAAATGGATCACCCATTTTAAAAAGAGAAGTTTTATTTAATTATCCATAAAGTTGTTTTTTCAATTTAGGACAAAAATATCATTTACAAAATATGCTCAGACGTTTTTTGTCAATTTTTTTTAATGCTTACGAAATTTTCTCAATCTTCATTAAATTTAGGTTTCTGGGAAAATTTTTTATCTCTGTAAGGAAGTTTCATATCGTTTTAACAATATTCTAGGTCCAAATCAATAAATAATAAAACGTTTAAAAAAAGATTGAAATGTATGTTTTTATACACTTACGATTAGGTCGGGGATACTTTTCCCTTTCCTTTCTCCAATGATTCAAAAGAGCAAAACGATATAAATCGCTTTTATCCATAATTCTCACTTTTTAATTTCACAAAAAGACAACCAGCATTTGAGAAATCTCAAACAAGAATGAGTGAAAAAACACTTTTTTAACAGATGCATCTTTTGCAACAATATGAACCATTGTTTAAATAATATCTTTCATAAAATTTTTATATAACTCTCATTGTTGTCAACGTTTCTATGCTAAGTATTGTTGCTAAGTATTTTTAAAAGTTGGTTACTGTAAATTAAATGCAAGAAAAAGTAATATTAATGATCAATTTCAGAAATAAGTTTAAAAAAACTGATTTCTTTCATACACTTTTATTTATTCAAAGGACGCAATTGACATAGAAGAAATTATTTTAACTTTGCTTTAAATAAAACGTATAAAAACAGGGAAGATATTATTATTTTCTTTATAAAAAATACCTTTTTTAGGAAATTGACTCTTTAAAGTTAAGTCATCTCAAGGAGTTTATCTACACTTAGGGCAAATATGGGTTCCACCTCCCCATTACACTATACAGATCTTACATAATTTTATATATTAATTTATTTCATTTATTAATTTATTTTATATATTAATTTTATTTAGTGTTTCGAAACGAACTGACTTACTTATTCATGTACTTATTTTGCTGTTTTGAGAAAAAATTTAGATATTAACTTAAGTAAAAATTTTGAAAATCGAAGGTAGGGTGGTTAAAGCACTAAGCTATCACGATGAAAGCCTGGGTTCGATTTCCGGCATCGTTTTGAAGTCCACCCAGCTTCAAAACGATGGGTACATGTTTGGGAGACAAGAAAAGGCTGTCGATGAGCACTTTATAACCCACAACGGGATGTTGCTGGAATGTTTAATGTTTTTGGTAAAAATTTAAGATCAATTATCTCTAGAGCAACGAAAAACATTTAATGAAAATTAGTTAAAGTAGTACACCAAATATTTTTCAAATTACATAAACTTCAATTATATCTTTTATTTTACACTTAATTAAGATAAAAGCTAAATAATACATATATTCTCTCATTGCGTGTGTTGAATGTTTTTACTTTATGCAAATCAAACGGCCTTCACAATTTTAGATATCAAACATCTGTAACAATATAGCTGAATTTGAGCATAGAGAAGGAAGAAACCACTTGAAAAAATATTAATTGAATTTAACATTAGTTATTAATTTATTATAGCATTTAAAAATGCATTACTTTGTATACTGTGTTTTTAGTACAAAAAGAAATGAAAAGATTTTTATGCCATAAACTGTTCCTTAATGAGCTGAAATTTAAATTTAGTTTTATATTTAAAGCAAATTTTTAAAAAATCTTGAAGAACAAGACAAAATCCACCGGTTGGGAAATGATAGAGTCATGACAGATTTAACCCAAGACAACTAAACATTCGTCTAACAGAATACAGACCGAGACGGGTTCATTCTAGTTTACTGAAGAGATTTTGGGCTAGGGTTGGCTCTGACTCCAGATAAAATGTTAATCAATTTTTTTTTACTACTTTTAAGCAAACGTTGTGTTGAGTTATTAAGTGTAAAAATTTAATTACGATAAAAGGTTTTAAATGAATAATTTCCCTGTTTAGACAAAAGCCTTTATCCGATGTATATCTCAGGCTCTGATGGACTCTGGTTCTATCCCAGGGGTTTCCAACTTACACGTGGCCGGGGGCCGCAATTAAAAACACCAGTCAATTGGCGGGCTATAACTTTATCCAAATTTTATATGGGACTCTTTTATGTTTCAAGGAACATTAAATATTGCTATGCATTAACAATTAAAAAAAAAATTTTCTTGACTTATTAGGAATTATAGTAAAAAAAAAAAAAAAAATTCTCGATCATCAGAAATTTTTTTCTCCGCTCACGTGATATTCAATTTAAGGAATTTAAATAAAACATGATATTTATTCCCTCTTTTATGCTTTTGAAAATTTACAAATGTAAATAATTTCGTCAAAAATGAGTGGTTTCAAAAAGTTAAACGGTTGAATTTCTTCGAGAAAATTTCTGAAACGCGCATACTAAATTATATTCACAAAATACAGAAAAAACGAAATAAAAAAGTGCAACATACACGATTATTTTTGTGTTTGAATAAATATTTTCTTGGATGCAAAACCTGAGAAATAAATTTTTTGCACCGTTGGCACCCCTTCCTTTCACAGAAACGAAGAAATTATGTTTTTTAAACGAAAGTAAAGTATTTTAAACCCATATAGATTTTTTACGAAAATTGTCTGCAAAAATAACGAAAACTAATATATTTTGGTTCGCGGTTCACAAAAAAAGCCTTCGAGGATCGGATGCAGCCAGTTGGTAATCACTGTTCTATCCTGTGTATCTCGAGCTTGGGTAAGAATTTTTCGGGCTCCGACCTACAAAAACGAACCCTTATTCACGTTACAGAATACAGCCAGTTTTGTGAATTCTTTTTTTTTTTTAGAGATATGTTTTAATTTAATCGTCGTCGAATACGCAGTTTAAACAAGAAATTTTATTTTATGACAGCCGACACAATTTATGGGTTTACGATTACTAATGTTCAACTCTGTAGCCTTGTAATTTTGAACCCAATCCGGAAAACAAGGGAACTCCTGGATTAAGTATTGGGAGAAACTTGCCTTCGCGGAGGACTTTTTGATGGAACTAACCTGCTTTTGCGTTGTACGGAGAGAAAGACCACAAGAACCTCCCACTGAAAGTCTGAAGGCAAGGGGACTAACCTATGATCCGTCTGGTGACTGTGGTCAGAGTGAGCCGGATGCGGAATTCGTATCGACAAGTCATCGATGAGATTCTAACCAGAGTTACCTCATTAGAAGGCGAACGCTCTACCTCCTGAGCCTACACGGCTCACTTGTAGAAATTCAGGTCAATGCGCCATAATTTTGCTTTCTAAGTTTTTTCTGCATTCTATTATACTCTATATTTTTTATTCTGTTCATGACAGAAACGGAGAGTGTCAACACATGTCTGCAACAAGATTGTATGTGGAGAGCACAAACTATATTTTCTATCATATATTTTAATTTTTTTTTATTAAAATATTTAACTTCTTTAAGTTTTGATAATTTCTTTAAAATAAAAGGAAAAATATATTTTTTTTAAAAATTCTTACTAATTGAATGATAGACTAACACTGGTTTAAGTACAATTATCTAGGTTTACGATCCCTGCAATTGCTCATTTCTAAGACTTTTACAGATATTTGATACGCAAGAACTTGCTATTGACTCCGCTATGCTGTTGACATTACTAACTTCAGTAATGAGGATGAGAAATAAATAAATCTGAGTTCAGTTTAAAAAATTGTTAAAAATTCAGGATTAAGAAGACGTAATGATAACGTATTAAGAACAGATAATTTTGAGAATTTTCAGACATTTTAACCAAATCCAATCCCAAATTATAAGTTTCCTGTATCGTGGCTTTGAAACTAAACCGTAGTAACTAAAAAAAAAGGTTGAAAAAATGAGATATTTGGGTCGATTTTTGTAAAAAAAATCCCCCTTTTTAGAGAAACAACGTGTTATTTTCATAGGTTCCATAAAATTAATTTAGAGAGCATATGAATCGTTATCGCATTGGTGCGATTCGCTTTTTTGAAAAGTTAGAAATCGTACTCCTGAAAAACTTGCTTTTTTGAGCTACCACGGTTTAGTTTCAAAGCGACGATATGTCCTCTACTTTAACTATTTCATTAATATGGAGTGGATGTATAGTCAGTCTACAAAGCAAAGACATGGTCTTTGCTGCGCTATATTAAAATTTCACTCAAGGTAAAACCGAAAGAGTTTAGAAATCTAAAATTTAAATTAAAGGAGGTCAGAAAGTCCTCTCGAGTTCTGGAACCTCCGTTTATCTAAAAGTCTCTTTACAAAAGAATAATATATTCAGAAACTAACACAGCACATTTAAAGTTTGTATTGTTAAAATACTCAAAATTATTCTACAAAAGCTAACGTAGATTTAGTAAATTCGGAGGAATTATTGAAACTGCCGTTTAAACTAAATTTATATCAGTTAAAGTTAATTTTGAAATGAATTTAAAATTTTCCCCCCCCCCCCCCACTCAAGAGGTCTATACATTTATATGGGATGCTTTAAACCATCATACAAGATTTTCATATCGAACCCATTTGTAAGTGCTTACAATAAAATCATTTTCTTAAGAGTAAAGTGTGCCTCATGTTTAAAACTTTTTTTCAAGTGATAGGAATTATATCAATGAATACAAACACATTTAAAAACATTCTCTTTTATTAGTATCTATAACAATTACATTGTTTCAGATTAAAACAATATTTTACAAAGTCTACATTTCAGCGAAACAGATTATTTACATTTAAAGAGAAATACAAGATACAATACAACTATAGAGATAACAAAAAATGCAAGAACAGTCTCAAAACTAAACATTGCCGATACATGTATTTAATTTCATTACAAGAAATGAAAAGTGTTTAATATTCCAGTTAAAGTTTTAAAAACTTTAAAATAGTTAAAGCACTAAGATTGTGATTTAGAAAACAGCCAAAATTATGGAGTCTTAATGCTTCGAATTCAATTCAAGTTCAAATTTACTCATAGACAAATTTAGATATTCGAATTAGGTCAAATTTACGCATAAGCAAATTAGAAATCTGCAGGGGCAAAATTAAAAACAATGAAGATTAATTTATTTGAAAAAGAAAACAAATTAGTACCTCACTGCAATAATAGCTTAAGTATCTGCATCAATGTTAAAATTATTAATATACTTCAGTTTTGAACTTATTGTTGTCATAGAGTGTATAGAAAACCTCTACAGCAGTTTGAAGGAGTGGTTCGAAAAGTTCCGAAACGACTGAACGAGTGTGAAATACGACGAGAGAACAGAAAGGCCGTCCACCGCTACCAGCTCGTGCTCCACATTCGCCCAGCTGTTTTTGTCCAAAAAAACCACAAAATTACAATTTTATCCAAAACGTTAGTAAAAAATTTTGAGTATTCATAATTAATAGCATATGATAGGAAAATTAGTATGCTATTTGCAATGGTGAATACAATATGGGATTCATAATTAATATACTATATTATTTTATTATAATATTTAAAAAGTTCATTAGAATTTTAAAATGAAGCGTACTAATTTTTTTGTGAAAAATTTCATAACATATTCATTGCATTAATTTTTATTCCCATTTTTTACTTTCATTACTATCATTTAATCAAAAATTATTTATGCTTTATAAATAATATTATGATTTTAACTAAGGTAGGTAACACAAAGATGAGCAGTAAGGTAGACCACCTCCCAATAAAAGAATCAATATTATTTTTAATCGCTATAAAGCGCTACTGCAATATAAATAATCCATAAGCAGAGCAAGTCGCTGAATTTGAATAGTTAATATGCCAACACTGTACTTTTTAAAAGAAGCTGTTCTAATTTTCAGGTAAAGAGATATTCAGATTACACGTGTTTAATTTCACAGAACATTGAATTATGAAATATTTTTGAATATATTTTAGTTTATTTCTTACTTATTAACCATTATGTTATTAATACAAAGTCTAATATTAAATAAAGTGCATTTTATTTTAACCATGAACAGAATAAAACAATATACAGTATAACATATACCATACACAGAATAATAAAAAACAATAATTTGAGCAAGACATTTGAATTTCACTGAGTCATTACAAGAAAAGGACTATAGTAAATAAATATCTCAACCGCACACTTACGCATATATAAACATATCATAATGAGGAAATTTTGTCACGAATAACTGTGAACTGAAAAGTTATTACAAATGACAAATTATTTGAATATTTCATTTCCATAATAAATTAGCAAAATAATAGTTTTGAGAACTAAAAAAAGTTATTACAAATTATTTGAATATTTCATTATTTAACATAATAAATTAGCAAAATATAGTTTTTAGAACTAAAAAAAAAAAGCAACTTCAATAATAGTTTATTAATTTCGATTTTTCAATAGTCTGAGTGATCTTTTGTGTACTTTTTCAAAAGTTTGATAAATTATACAATCTAAGACATTCAGATGTGATTACCAAAATTTATATCAAGTAACCATTTAAAAAAACTGTCATAATATTCATTACAGTAAAGTAATATTTTGGTAACATAAATGTAAGATTTATAAAATGATGAAAGCTTAGAAAAAGTACAAGAAATTGATATTTTGAATCAATTTACATTACTTTATCTATATGTTTCATACTTGCAGTTAAACTGAATTTACTTAAAACATTCATTAAATAAATAAAAGTTACATGTAATTTTTTATTAAAAGCTGCTATTGAAGTTATTTTATTATTATTATCATTAAAAAATAATACATACAACTCAGGATTCTAATGCTGAGAGAATAAAAAAAACAAAAATTGTAACCAGTAATCAAGGTTACAACTTTGACTAAGAGGTGTTTACAAGAATGTATTTCAATTTTAATCCAAAACTTTTCAATACTGGAGCTTATTTTAGATATGCATAAAAACAGACAAATACAATGAAATCTGCATTATAAAATATTTTGAAAAGAAAAAACCTCATCAGCTTCATTAAATTGTGTTAAATCTAATGACACTTCTGTGAATTTTTTTACTTAAAATGGAAGAAAGTTTTTCCCCAGTGAGAAATGATCTATGCTCAGTCAGTCACTTTTTACCTATGAAGGGTATCTGCTACATTTTAAATTTTCAAATTCATGACTAATTCCAAGAACTTTTCACGATTTAACGACTACAATTTACTCATGATTTACTATTTTCTATGACAAAAACACAAGAATAAATTTAAAAAAGCATTATAATAACATTAATTGAAATGATAGGTATAACCATAACTGCTATACTCTGCATCTTCTATAGACTTTAAAAACAGAGTAAAGAAAGAGTTAAAGCAATAAAATAACTATAAAAAAAAAAATACAAATAACTTTCTTTTTTTTTTCTTCTGCAGAATTATATTCTAAAGATACTTGTCTTGTTCATTGGAAAGGAAATACTCCTGATTTTCCTGTTCGAATAATGAAATATGACTATGATAAAAAAAGATTTATAAATATTTAATCAAAATTAAATTAATATTAAAACTACATTATAACAATATTTTAGAACCTCTAACTTACTAAAATAATTTTTCATTATAATACATGGCTTTGAATGCATAGCAACCATTTTGAAGCAAATGCATGATTGAAATTTAAAGACTAGATAAAATAGAGAATTTAAAGAATACTTTAGGAGTCTGTCTAAGTTTTTCTGAGAGGTACTTATTTTGTGAAAATTTAGACATAATTTGTGAAAATTAAAAATTATAATAACAAATCAACACAAAAATATGGATTCATCGTTTCTTACGAGACAAAAAAATAAAATTTTAAGAAAAAGTATTTTGTGAAGGTATATCTCTAAGAGGTAGTAAATTTGGCTTGGACACACCCCTGATTCTTTAACTATTAAAACAATGTTTCATATTTCAATTTAAAATTGTGATTTTTTTGTCTTGATTTTTCATAAGACAAAATAAATGTAACAGATTATTTAACCTATATATTTTTAAATTAAAATATTCATTTTTAATCCTATATCAAGATAGATAAGTTAAGCTTAAAATTTTTTTTACAAAATCCATGCACTCATTGAATTTTTTTTTTCACATAATTTCTTTATAGAAAATCTGATTATGTCAAAGATACTGTAAACATAGGAGAAAAAAAATACCAGTTAATAACTCTACTGCTTCAAATAAACTTTGAAAGGGAAGAATGACACTACTATATCAGGAAAAAAAAATATCTGAATTCATCAGCTTTTTTTTTTCTTTCTATTTTTGGCATATTAGGGTAATTTCTTTTTAATAAAACCTCAAGCTTTAGAAATAAACATTTTCCACCAATAAAATAAAATGTAGATTTTAATTCCATGCTTTTTCAATCAAAAGGTAAAATTTTAATTAACATTATTTGCATTTTCTTGAAAAAAATTCATGTTTATTAATTATTTTCTACAGCTATGCAAATCTATATTAAGACAGCATTAAATGTTTACTTTAATCTGTACTTTCAATCTCAAGAATCAAAAGATTTTTAAAAATGTAATTTCAAATGTGTTGGAATTTAGCACACACCAAGAAAGAAAGTAATTTTGTTAACTAAAATTAATTAATGCAGCAATTTATTTAAAATAAATTTTAAAACTAAGAAAAGAAAATAATATAAGTATCAATAATTTAAAACACTGTTTTTTAACTTTTAAAATCAATGCATATATAAAAAAAATCAGTTGATTTAAATCAAATGATTTGTAAAAAAAAAATTGTTTGATTTCAATCAACACAGTATTTAGTTCGATGACATTTCTGAGAAACACTCTTATTACATAACGTTATAACGAAAATTTTATCACCAGTGCAAACGCGAACATAAAAGTCAGTCTTTTGAAGAAAAAAAAACTCATACACATATATTATAAGAATGAGTTTTTTTTTAACCAGTATGAATAAAACAATGAAAAGTTGGAACGTCCCTAAATGAAAAAAAAACTTTTTTTTTTACATACACAAGACAATGATTACTAAACAGTGTGAACATGAATGTGATGAGTTAGATAATCTTTCCTTGAAAAAGCCTTATTACATGTAAAAGGTTTCTCTCCAGTGTGAAAACAAATGTGCTTATTTAGAAGAACTATTTGTGAAAAACTCTTATAACATATACTACCAGAATAAGGTTTATTCACCAGTATGAACACGACTATGTAGCGTCAAATAAGCTTTACTTGAAAATCTCTTATTACATTTACTACAAGAATAAGGTTTCTCACCAGTATGAACACGACTATGTTTAGTCAAATTACTTTTTAATGAAAATCTCTTATAACATATACTACAAGAATAAGGCTTCTCACCTGTATGAACTCGACTATGTAGCGTCAAATAAGCTTTACTTGAAAATCTCTTATTACATTTACTACAAGAATAAGGTTTCTCACCAGTATGAACACGACTATGTTGAGTCAAATTACCTTTTAATGAAAATCTCTTATAACATATACTACAAGAATAAGGCTTCTCACCTGTATGAACACGACTGTGTTCAGTCAATAGAAATCTTCCTATAAAACTCTTATTACATACACTACAAGAATGAGATTTCTTCTCACCAGTATGAACAAAAGAGTGTGAAAACAGTGAACTTTTATTTGAGAATTTCTTATTACATGTACTACAAGAATAAGGCTTCTCACCAGTATGAACACGATTGTGTTGAGTCAGTATATTTTTTTGTGAAAAACTCTCATTACATATACTACAAGAATAAGGTTTCTCACCAGTATGAACTCGAATGTGCTCAAATAGATTATGTTTGTGAGAAAAACTCCTATTACATATACTACAAGAATAAGGTTTCTCCTCACCATTATGAACAGAAAAGTGCGCAGTCAGTGAACTTTTTCGTGAGAATTTCTCATTACATGTACTACAAGAAAAAGGCTTCTCACCAGTATGAACACGATTGTGTTGAGTCAGCATACCTTTTTGTGAAAAACTCCTATTACATATACTACAAGAATAAGGTTTCTCACCAGTATGAACACGACTATGTTGAATCAAATTAGATCTAGTTGAAAAACTCTTATTACATGTACAACAAGAATAAGGTTTCTTCTCACCAGTATGAAGAAAAAAGTGTGCAGTCAGTGCACTTTTTTGTGAGAAACTCTTATTGCATATGCTACATGAATAAAACTTCTCCCCTGTATGAACAGGACTGTGTTCAGTTGGTAGACATCTTCGTGAAAAACTCTTAGTACATGAATAAGGTTTCTCACCAGTATGAGCACGACTGTGTCCAGTCAGTGCACTTTTACGTGAGAAAATCTTATTACATATACTACAAGAATAAGGCATCTTACCCATATGAACACGATTGTGTTTAGTCAGATCTCTTTGTGAAATATTCTTATTACATATACTACAACAATAGGATTTATCACTAATATGAATTCTGCAGTGTTTAGTATGGCTTCTTCTTTTTGAAAAAACCTAATTACATGTATTACAAGAATAAGGTTATCTTACAGGATGAAAAACACTATTACAGTATATGTTTACTTATTTGAGAAAAACTCATTTCACTTATTCATACATCTTTTACATGCACAAATAAGATTTCTCAACAGGGTGAAGACAAATGTTAAAAATTTGATGGAAAATTCTTCTTACATGAAATGCAAGAAATAAGGCTTCTTGGTAATATGAACCAGGGGTCACCTTTTTTTGCTCTAACAATTAAATTACTATACGACCGGAATACTATACAAAATATTGTTGTAAAACACTTTTGTATGTGTTACTAGAGCAAGAATCATAAGGGTAGATAAATTGTGGGTAGTCGAGTAAGACTTCTAGAAAAAAAATCATAAATATGCTGTAAGAAATGAAGATATAAATCTACTTTGCAATATTAAAATATAAATGCATAATTATAAGAAAAAATACAGATTTTCTGTTCAAAATCAAATTATTGCTTTTTCTAAATTTATTTGATACATATAGCTATATTTAGATAATAGAAAAATAATTAGCCGTTCATTAAAATGAAGGCAATAATTCAAAATAATTTTCACTACAAAAATAACTCATTTAATAGTACCTACATATTAAGAAAATAATCATGTTGTATCAAATTACTTACTTTGACTAAATGTTTTGACTAAGCAAAATAAAATACTGTAGAAATATGATCACTTTATAACAGGAATGTGATTTATTAATAGGCGCATCTGCGAAATGATTAATTTAAATTATATGGAGATGCAATTTTTTCCCCCACAAACTTTACTTTAATAATATTTCTATTTTAACATACCTATAAAGATACAAAACTAAATTAAATTATTTCACTTTATGTTCTTTTACACTAAAAACTGCAGGAACAGTGAACCTTTTTATGTAACAGATTCCTTTAGATTCAATACACTATGAATGAAGCCATTCTTAGATACACTGCAAAATTAATCTTATTTGTAATTAGAAAAACTTATTACAAAAATGAATAAAAAGTAATGCTATTTACTGTTATGAACATGAAATTATCAAATTAGATTTCATTTACAAATTATTTCACACACACATTGCAAAAATATGGTTCAATATATATTTAAAAAAGAAATTAAATTGCAAATTTTTGTATCAATATTTCATCACACATAATAAATGTATGCTCTTATAAATAAACATAAATATGAGAAGGTTGAAAAAATGTAATTTTATCTATAAATTTTAAATTGCCAAAATTGCATATAAAAAATATTTTGTCCGTGTTAACAAGAAAATCACAATCTCAACTACTTGCATATAAATATCAAATCACATGTGCTTTATGAATGTAAGAGACTGCTTAATAACCTGCAACTACAATCTTTTTAAAACTGTTTATTAATGCAACCCGTCGCACCGGACAGGGCCAGATGGAGGAAAATCTGTGAGTCAGCCTTGACCTGTGAAAGGCTGTTGCGCTTATGAAGAAGAATGCACCACATGGAAAAGTTTGTCTCATGTGTTTGTTAGATTAAACCACATTAATTAAATTCTTCATGATTAATTCATCCTTAAATAAATTATTCATATATTATGAGCACAAAACATTTAAATGAAATTACTTCTTATTTAGAGCAGTCATTAACTACACTTGGAAACTTTTAAGCAAAGTGCAAACATTAAATTTCTATCAAAATATTTTTCTCTTAGAACATCATTGCAAATATGTGTCACACTATTTACCGTTAGTGTCACAACAAAGAATGTTATCGCCAACACAGAAAGATATTGCCTTTAATAATAATATCTTCTCCAGCCAGGAAGCATTTAACACACACTGCATGAGTAGTTTATCAATTACATGAATCGAAAAGAAAACTCATTTTATCTTAATATTTATGCACGCACAGCAGGAATTTTCTTTCTATCAACACGAAGAAAATGTTATTTTATCATTCAATTGATTTTTGTTTTCAGTATAAAGAAGATAATATCATATGAATACGATCTGCATGAAAATCACCCTTTTAAAGCACTTTCTATAGATTTTCCATAACTATGAATGCAGTCCACTTTCATTAATCATTAATAAGGGTTTTGGATACACTGTCTTATAAATTTGAGAATAAGAGTTTTATTACATCTTCTAAATCCAAATAGCACATTAAGTGTAGTACAAAACAATGTCCTTAAAACTTTCTTTATACAAGAATCTTCTTCAGTTCAATAACACAAACAAGGGTCTAATAACACAAACACAAGAACCCACAAATGGAAGTGAAGGTCCTATTTTTCCGGTGGCAACGAAAAATAGATTACCTTTTCAATCATTGTGGCGACTTTTTCTATCTGTAAAATCGGCACATTGCAAGTTTACGTATGCAAATTTTACAGCATGAAATAGATATCTTATCTGTCGTGGAAAGGAAAAATTATTATTCTGTTAACATTTTAATAAGCATTTAGAGTTTTCATTATTCTTCTTTTGTAAGTTGTGTGCATATCCAGATCTCAAAAAAATATAGATATATTATGAAAAACAATTTGTATAAAATTAAATAAATAGTCTTAATATAAGACATTCAAATAATTTTAATAGTTGAAATATAATACGTTTTTTTTTTTTCAAAAGAAATTAAATTTAAAAAATTGAAAATCGCAAGTATAAGTTCAATAAATAATAAAATAGATGGCAGCACTAAATTGTTGACATTACTGAACTTCTCTATGATTGAAATGTTTTCTTTCAACCAAATTAACATATCACTAAACTGATTTGATGTCATCTATTGAATAAATATTCTATGAAATCTTTTAAATAGAATTCTTACCTTCATATTTACAGAAAAAAAATTGAAGATAAAACTGTGGAAAAACAGGGGTGATTTCCGTATCGCGATTTGTATTTGTGACAGAATAATCGCTAATAAAGTCTTGTCAACTTCCGGGCAGCGGTCCGCGAGAAACTGGAATAAAAAATAAAAAAACATTACAGAAAGGGACCAACTCGAAAGGTATAACTTGTCGCCACCCCACTGGCTAACATCTCTATGTTTTTTTTTGTTTTTTTTTTGTTTTTGTTTCTAATTGCAAATTTAAAATCTATTTGGCACCTTGGCGCGACAGATCACTATATGAAAATATCCCTGAAAAAACACGCTTACTATAATCAAAGGACTTCATAAATATAAAATAAAACTAAAAAAATTTAGCGCATCTTTAAATTTTAACAAACAGAATATTTCTTATGTAATAATTATTTTTATTTTTAAAAAAAATTACTCTCGGGAATTATTTTAACAGAAAAAAAAATAGTTGAAAAATTTATTTGTTTATTTATTATTTATTTATTTTTTAAATTTAAAATAATCTTAGTTCTGTTTCTTTCTTCTTATTTTTTTCTTTGTCTTTTTCTATTTTTAAAAAAAAAATTATTAGGTTATCAGCGTATTTTCTTGCTTTAGCAGCTGTAATTTGCAAAGATAATGATTGAAAATTACCTATTCCGTCGAAATTTTTTAATTTTAATTAATACAAATCAACATTATAAAAATACTATTTCTGTTTTTCATTTCTTTAATTAGATAAATTTAATTGCTTTGTGATATTCCAGATTTCAAATTTATTATGCTGAATGCGAATGTTATGCTTTTCCCAAGATAACAATGGAAGAATTGTTGTTAGTATTGTTAAGTTAACATAATAATGCTATTTATTTGATTAAATCCTCTATATCATCTGCCTTGTCATATCCACTAGCACCACCTATCATGCAACTTCATAGCCATCACTCATGTCTCCTCCAAATTCACCAACCATCATGCGTCTTTCATATCCATACCATAGCATCTCTTATCTATTTTATATGATTAATATTTACCATTGATAAGAAATGATAAAAATCAGATTTATGTGACATATATTTCCTTTAAAAACAGAATCTCTTTCAGATTATAACAGGAATTATTGCAAAGGGTTGATTTTATATCTTAAATAAAGATATTCTATGCTACTGGTTTATTACGATGAAAACGAATGTTTATGTTCTAAAAAATAAATGCTTTCACAATATTGTGCATGTTGCGGACATGACATTTACAAAGTTTGATTTCTTATAATTAAATAAAAAAATTTAGTTAGGTGACTGGTTTTCTGCATTATGAAATCAGGAGATATGACTTCTTTTAACCCAATGCATATTTAAATATAAAAATAATTTAAACGCCTTTAAAATAAAAATTTGAAGTGTTGCGGACATGACGCAAAAAATATGGTTTTTAGAAAATTTTTCTACTTTTACCAAAATCTCTTAATTTTATGAAATGAATTAAAGCTCCTTTTTAGGTAAGATTTCAGCGTATATTTTTATAACAGAAATCAAAAGACTTTTGAAAAAATAAAATTAATTTAATTGAAAATTATCAAATTAAATATAACGTGTATGTTGCGGACATGACAGAAAATTTCTCATTATAAATAATCTTCTTAGATGGTCGTATATCATTAGAATATTACAGATATCTTTTGTTAAATAATAAGTAAATTATGATTGTTTATTCGTTATTTTTAATATTTTAAATTTTTTAAAATTAGATCTTATTATAAAATTAATTATTGTAAATTAGATTTATTTTAGATTTCGGGTAAATGATGTTTTAAATATTGCAACACAATTTATTTATTATATTCCTTATCTTTAAAGCAAGTTCAGAATTGTATGAATAAAGCTGTGCAGAATGATCAGGTGAAGGATTGCGTGACAAAGGGCATAAGTATGGGCCAGTTATCATTATTTCAAATGGCGATTTTTCCAAATACTTAGACTTGTTTAGAGCTATGAACTTCAAATAGTGTTCAAGTGTCATATCTGTCTTGGTTGTTGAAATTATTTGGCCAGGCCACCAATAGTCATCAAACAATCCACTGACTAAAAATGTTGCTAATGTTGAAGTTTGTTGTTTTGAATCTACAGCATGTTTTGAAGGCAGTTTAGTGAATTATTCAGCTAGGTGCATGATTTGGGGACTAGAGATAGGAGAGTTCAATGAAGATTCAACTGAATTAAATGTTATAGGTGAGATGAAATGCAATAATCTTGTATTTGGGATAGATTTGCGGAGACTATAACTTTCATTCAACATCGTTGCATAATGCTGGACAGTGACTTTGCTTACAAACATTATTTTTATACTTCCTTCTGAAATTTTACAAGACACTTAAAAAAAAATTGCATCAACGACATTTTCTCTTCCTTGCAATACAGCTCTCTAAACTACGTTTTCCATGATGCCGCCTATGGCTCCTTTCGATGGCTCCTTTCCTGTGAGCTACTTCAAAGTCAGCATCAATGATGAATTCTTCGTTGTGAAAAACAAAATTTGCGAATATAAATCTATTTTTGATCCATCCTATTCCATTGACGGCTCCTTTCCTGTGAGCTGTTTCAAAGTCACCATCAATGATGAATTCTTCGTTGTGAAAAACTAAATTTGCGAATATAAATCTATTTTTGATCCATCCTATTCCATCGACGGCTCCTTTCCTGTGAGTTGTTTCAAAGTCTGCACCAATAATGAATTCTTCGTCGTGAAAAACTAAATTTGTGAATATAAATCTATTTTTGAATTGACTGGCAGCTCCACCAGACCTTTGCACGACCCAAATTGGTAACAATTTCTTTTTTAACAGTTAAAACCTTATTTATTCTAGTGCCATTGATAATATTTGACCTGTCTAAATTTTGCTCTGACATTTTTGCATCTAAGTATTTTTTTACTCTGCATTTTCGGCAGGATTGGTCTATGCAGTGGACTTGTTTTTCATCAAAATTTACAAATTGCAATTGTTTCAGAATTTTTTGAAAGATCAGGACAGAGGAGTTCCTGAAAGAATCATGGTTAATTTTCTGTAGTATATGCATGAACACACAAACTTCTTTGTCTTTCTTTCCAGATGAAAGAACGTATTTTGGACGAAGCTCATGAAATTTACTTTTCCCACTATCTAAATCAGAATTTTCTCAAAAAATAAGACATATGCTTCTCCAATGCTCATAACTAAATAACGCTTTTGATATCTTTCTCTTCTTTTAGGTATTTCTATATACATCACTTCCTTCTTTTTTGGGCACAAACGACGATCATCCCTAATGAAAAATAGTTTTACTTCTATTTCAGTTTTCTCTGCTAATTTATCATTCCTGGTTTTTCAACTACTAGTTCCAGAATCCGTTCTTCAAATTTGCACTTGTTGCCTTTTCTTTTTAATGGCATTTTTAATTATCTACTTCCTTTTTAATGGAGCCATTTTTGATATCACATCTGTTAAAACATTAGACTTCTTCTGAGGAGATTTGTGGCAAAGCATTATTAATTTTCTTCACCGCTTTTCCTCAAAGATTGTCTGCTGGTGTAGCTAGATATTTTCATGCTGTATTTTAATCTTTTGCTTTTTTCTTCTTACATCCCTTTGCGCTTCATTATTTTTTGTTCTTATGTGCTCCTTCTGTTCTTCAGTAAGATTATATTCATGTTCTTTTTTTTTTCTTTTCTTGCTTTCTTCTACTTTGATAGTTTCATATTTCACTGCTTCAGCTTTCAATTTTTGTCTTTTCAGTCGAGACATTTCTGTACTTGTTGATGGTATGAGGAATTTTTATAGTTTTACAAACTTAGTCTAGAATTCTATAATCTGTTTCAAGTTTTATTAACTTGAAGTAATTATATAATAATCAAACAAATCAACTAACAAAGATTAAATCTTTTCAAAACTCTAAATTAATTTTTAATTTAATAGAAAAACATCTGCAAATAAGCATGTCCATATCCTAAATAATTTAAAAAATGTTCTATTCTAAACAATGTTCTCCTCTAATTAATCTTCTATCAACTGTTTTGTTGCTATTATTCCTAACATAACTTAGACCAAATACACATGTTGCCATAAATGCAATTGTTGTTTAAATTCAAAATACACTTATATTTTTTTAATAAATGGAAGAATTTAAACATGTTTAAAATTAAGTAATTTGTCAATGTAATTAGTCATTACAAAAATAAATGACAATAGTGCGAATTTTATTAGTTTTATGGTTTGTGATACAAATTTATTGAGAGGAATTTTTTTTATCAAGCTCAAATGTTTATTAAAAGTTAGTGAAATTGTATTTTGCAACTTGTCGTGTCTGTGACTTTGCGGACATGACCAATTTAAAAATTCTTTAAAAATTATTAAATAAAAAAATAATAATTTTTCAAAAATCATAATAATACAACACTGCAAATAGTTAAACGAAATCTATTTTTTAAGAAAGTAAATCTTTTAAATGCATTGTTTTAATAAAATTTAAAAAAAAAATCATTAAAAAATAAACATGTTCTCTTATAAGCACCCCATATTTAAATACTAAAAGTAAAGATTTACGTTTTTTCAGTCATTAATTATGTAAATACAATATATCTCTTAAAATACCATGTTTAATTTAAATATTAAACGCTACAATAGCAAAAAAAATTTTTTTTTTTTTGTCATTTCGCCACTTTTAAACTCAATTTTTTACATTTTATGCAATTTAGAAAAAGTGCACCACTTTAAAAAAAATAAGAAAAAAACGAATTGAATATTCATAAAACACATTTAATGACCTTTAATTTAGAATGTAGTTTATCAAATGCTCCTTATCAAATAGCGACAAAGATGATTGAAAAAGGATATTTTTGGAAGGAAATTTTGCAAAATATTTTTTTATGGTAAGAAATTAAATTCTAACAAAGAAATAATTATTATAATATTATTTTTTGTCATTTAAAAAAAATCTTCCTCATTATGCTTCTTCAACTGAATACAGATGGTTTTATGATTAAAAGAAAAAAATAATATTACGTATTTATTATAGTATAAATGAAAGTTAAGCTTCGTCAAAATAAATGCTAAGATTAAGAAGATTGTCGTATCTTTACATGCGCCAAAAAAGTCGCGACAACCGGCAGAGGTAGCAAAATTTTCACAAGCATGTTCGAAAACCCTTTAGCACTTGGCGATGGGAGTTTAGTTGGCGTAAACAGGTATCAATACGGAAATATCCGCATGATATAATTATTGTGTTACGTATTTTAAAATATATATTTTTTTAAATCTTCTTTTAAATGCTGACATTAATGATCATTAACAGATAACTATTTTTATCTTAAAAATGCTATTTGCTATTTCAATTGAATATCAATGCCTCATAAAAAAATTTCCTAAATAGTGATATCTTTTTTTTTTCGATTGAAAAAAACTCTATCCTAGAAATAATAAAGAAATGACGCTGTTGTTTTAATGGTGGTTATTAAGGAACACCATGTATTTACATTAATAATAGAAAAAGATCAACTATCTTAAATAAA